AACTATGCTTACGATTGTTCTTTTATTTTGTAATAGGCAATATCTTTAGAAATATGTAAAATATAAAATCATAGCCTGATTAAAATGAGGGGGTTGTGTAGCAGTTAAATTTACAATTTGTCTAATTCGGCTCTCTCTAGTTTATAGTATAATAAAAAATAAAAATAGAACTTTTTTATCTGTTACTTCGCATTTTTTAATCTTTTATTATTTCTTGGTAATATTTATTCTCCAAATTTTATCGAATCAGTTAAAAATGACTTGTGATTGGCTTATTTAAGGTATTCGACTGAGTGTAAAACTGCAATTTCGACAAATATTTCGATTTTTTTTTTTTTTCTTTACTGTCTATATTTGAACTTTGATTCTTTAGCGTTTTAAATTTTTGTTCTCCAATCTTTAGAACTGAAGTTGCAATTTTTTTCCCCATGCTGGCTGACGTTTTATGGCAATTTCATACATTAAATTTATTTTTAGAGAAACGATGAATTTGAGAAAATTTCTTTAAGCAAACTCTATAATAAGCGCTATAAAAAATTGTATAATACACAGTTCTACTGCTAATATCAGTTCTATATCTAATTCCGTAATAATAAAGTTTTTAATGGAATTCTTCGAAACTTTGTATAATGTTAGCTACATTTTGAACTAAAAGCTAAGGTATAAGTGTGAATTTATCATTTTTTTCATGTTTTTAGTTCAAATATGTAGAAGATAGATATACTTGAAAGGTTTCGCATAGATTTAAGGTTACTCATAACTCTAACAATAAAGTCTTTGGAACTTCGTAGCGCATACAAGAAAATTTTGATACAAGTCATCGTGTTCCTATGAGGAGTAGCAGTCAATGTTACTCCAAAACTCGCTACTAATTCACTGTCAGTAGAACACATTATAAAAATAATCAGATAATAAAGTATGCTGTACGTATGGTTTTGTTCCTTTTTTATGGTTTTATTTCTTTTTTTTAATACCATTATAATTTAATTAAAAACTTTTATAATTGAAGGATTTTCTACATACGTTAAATATGTTAATTGTAGCAATTAACATATTTAATTTATTATAACAATTGTACTTTATTAGTTTTTTTTTTCTTTCTCGATATTCTTAATTATAGTTTAATTATAATTATAAGAAAATTTCATACCTCAGTTTTTTATTTACAGACTTCAAACTAAAAACGTTATTTTTTTTAAAAATAGTTTATATTTAAAAGGTTGATTAATGTCTGAGCGTTTGTACGTACTTTATCTAAAGTAACAAAATGAAGGTTTATGGTGCTGCTATCTAGTGGAAACAAATGTAAATAAAATTTCTGTCGGTCAATCTCTTTGAGACGTGAGGCCTGGAAGAATACTCTACAATCTACGTTTTAATTTCAAAACTATGTTTACGATTGTTCTTTTATTTCTTAATAGGCAATATCTTTAGAAATATGTAAAATACAAAATCATAGCCTGATTAAAATGAGGGGGTTGTGTAACAGTTAAATTTACAGTTTGTCTAATTCGGTTCTCTCTAGTTTATAGTATAATAAAAAATAGAAATAGAACTTTTTTATCTGTTACTTCTGGGTTGGGTTCAAAGTTACGGAGTTGAGCATTGGTAGGGGACCATCTGTTCGAAGCCGGTTCTGAAATAAAATAAAATTTGCGTACGAGAGAAATGCGTTTTGTCAACGAAGATTCACCAATTATGTATTATTTTATTTTCTAATAATTTTTTTTATGCATTTTACGAGTGTACGTTCAAATAAAAATCTTAAACTTGCTGTCTCTAAACACTGAATTTTGTAATTATGTATACAAAAATTGCTATGAGCTATTTCTATTCCAGGTATAATTGAAATGTGTATAAATCAAATCTTAATGTATATAAATCAAATTAAACATATATTTAAGGTGAACATCTGAAGTCTTGTAAATTCTGTTTGTTTTTTCGGTAAAACCTAGCTTTTACCAGAATGGCTTGGAAGAATTTAAAGTATGCTTTAATATGATACTATTTCGGTCTTTCACCGAACTTTTGCGATTAAACTAAGCAACTTTGTCCTTGTTTTTATCAGTTAAGCGTATGATTTATCAAAGAGGCTTGGTAAAAGAGTGAAGTATATATTAATATGACTCCATTTCGGCATTTTATCAAGTTTTGCGGTAAAATTTAAGAGTTACCGATCTAATTCCTAAGTTTTACCGGTAAAGCCTATAATTTACCAAACTTTTCGGACTTTAACTGTAACATATATAAATTAAAGGTTTCAATGAACATGCTGCTTATTTCAAAAACTGTACCACCAGTCATAAAAAGCTAGACTTAAGTACGAAAGTATCCAATGAGCGAGCGAATGGAGTTCTGTTTGCGAAACAATCCAAAAGCAACTGCAGAAATAGTTTCGAGAAGTTGGAGACCACTTCGAGCAAGGTATAAGGCCCTCCAAGTATATAAAAATAGCCTTACTCTGGTAAAATATAAATTTAATTGAAATATGTCCTTAAGTATACACTAAAACATATCTAGAAGAGATTTTAGATGGATGAATAAAAAATATGTGTTCCAAATATTTCAAGTACGGCAGAGGCGTTCACTTGTTCAAAATAATTGACTACACTGCTGCTAGTAACTACACTGCTCAATATAATTAAAGAATATTGAGGTTGATCTTGCACCTGGAGAATTCTTTAAATGGTTGATACATTATCGACAGACGTAGTAGTCTATATGAGATAAATATGACATTTGTTTGGTAGAAAACATGCGCTTTCTAGAGCGTTTGGATACAAAAGGAAAAAAACACAAATTGTGCTTAGGAGACAAACAAATTAAAAATTGTGTTTCCTTAAAAGAAAATTGTTTTTAACAGGGGGTATGGTTTTCCCGGCTAGCAACGTTGAACACCTTTGATGCATTGAATCAATGAGGTTATAATTGAGGGGCTGGGGTATTCTGCCCCAGTCCTCCAAAAGAGCTCCTTCCAGTTTTTAAAGAGTTATTATTAGGCATACCAGTATTAGCCAGTACATACAATCATCAGTTCGTCTGCCTAGAATGTCCCAAACATGTTCGATTGGGTTCATTTACGGAGAAAACGCTGGCCAATCCATTCGTATAATTCCTTCCACCAAAAGAAATTCCTTCACCAAGTTAGAACGATGTGGCCTGAAATTGTCGTCCATTAGCATGAAGTCATCTCCAATTTCTGCGGCTTAAAGTAATACTATAATAGGTCTTAGGAATCTCATCATTATATCAGCGAACGGTCAAAGTTCCATTGCGAATGATATGGAGATCGGTGAGCCCATCAATGGAGATACCAGCATAGACCATAACTCACCCACCGTCAAATCTTAACAATTTCGCGCTCGAGCGTTTAGTGCCACGTTCCCCCCAGATGAAAATACGCTTATTATCAGAATGAACAGAAAAACGGAACTCGTCAGAAAAAAGAATATTGCGTAATTCATTTCGCCACCAGTTCACATTCTCTGTTGCCCACTTCCTGCGGGTGTGACGGTGGATTGCTGTTAGGCTGCGTTTAAGCAGCTTTTCATTCCGCAAGGAAATTGAACCCCACCACAAAATTTATACGCTACAAATCGTTTGTGGTCACCCCTTTTACATGGTGGATGCTAGAGGACGGAGGCTTGGACAGCTAGAGGACTACCCTTAGGGTCAGCTGAGGGGAAGATAAGGACTGATAGATTTATGAAGAATTAGAATGTAGAATGCCTTATCTTAATAATTTGTTCTTGTGGTAATATTTCTTTCAATTTGTTTTTGAGGGATATCTACTTCATTGAGGAAACTAAAAACTGCTTGCGCGAAGCCATGACGTGACACACACCATTGGTCATCGAGTATACAGACCTATAGCGTGACTGCGGTTTCGGACAGTCTGTGTCGAAACTGTGGTACTTTTTACCGAACGAAGGTGTTGCTGAAGAAAAGTGGCATTCACATTTTGGTGTCTCCGAGTAAATAACGGACTTTTGGGCGTTGTTACTCGTCGACGCTCTTGCCGTGATCTTCGGCCTGCATTTCCAGTTTCTGAAAAATGTTTCTGCTTATACCGTTATTGTGCTGCTTACACCGTTATTTTATACAAGACTTACGATACCGTTTAATTGTTTTGAGCAGCGTCCTAAACTTTGATTCCAGGGGAGAGGGGTCATTCCATTGTTTCATTCGACTTATAAAAAATTTCATTTGTCGACGGAATTGTTTAACATATATAAAAAAAAAAGAACATTCAGGTAAAGTCTACGATACTGTAAGAGCATAAGTATTGGCACCAAAACAAAATGCACCAGATCGATTACTTTTATCTTTAAATAAGCATATAACTAGCGTTAATGAGTTGATAACTATATCTATATAATGATCTATACATCATTATCCATATATCATTATATCTACTTTTTATTGAGTTAAAAATCAATAGCAAGTTGTTTTTGATGATCTTGTAGCTTTCATTAATGAAGCTTAATTGTGTTGTTTTTATCCCTTATTGTACGATTACTTTATCACTAAATAATCACGCACATAGTTATACTATCTATAATTACACAGAAATATCGATTAAAAATTAGGAAATTCAAAAATAAAAACTGCCACCCTAATTTTATTTGATGGCTTACTTATTTAAATTATTTCAAGATCGTTTTATATAAATAGATGTATAAATCATTAAGAGCAAGTATCTTCAAAGCAAAAATCATATCTAAGCACTTAGGATGTGTTTGCGTAAAAACTAACCTTCATTTGAACAATTATAAGAACAAATTCACGAATTATAAAATATTCGTAAAAAGTTAACACGCCACGCAGAATAATTCCATAAAAACTGATAAAAAAATATGAACTCATTTATATTGTGAAGAAAGGCAAATTTTCCTTGTCAACTCAGATTCTTTATTATCTGTTAGCTTTTCAGAATTGACTTAAAGAATCCAGACCAATTTTTTGTCTGGAGAATTAACACGAAATTTTAGGCCTAAACGTAAATTCTTTGCACTCCATTCCAAATAGAAGAACAGTTTCCCAAAGGAATTCGTTCATCTTGTGAGGAACTGTGAACTTTTCTTGCAAATTCAACGTCTCTATCTGTTATTCTTCAAGAACAGACTTAACTGAAAGAATCTGAACAGAATTTAGACCTGAAAATTTGATGTTAAAAACTTTAGATTGAACCGTTAAATCTTTACACTCATTTCAAGAAGTATTTCATAAAGATTTTATATAGAATGGCAGCTTATTTTCCCTCTAAACTTAGAATCACAGCCCTACCAATTGCCGCAGCCGCAGAAATTAAAAGAATCAACAATACTACCATTATCTCGGGATTTGAAGCAGAATTAATAAATCTATTATCACGTAAACTAAATTTCGAATATGAGATTCTTGTTCCCACCGACTTATTGTACGGTTCAAGGGATGCATTCGGGAACTGGACAGGAATGATGGGAATGCTTGCAAGGAATGAAGCTGACGTGGCATTCTCATTAATGGGTATCACCGAAGAGAGGTCAGCTGTAGTGGACTTCAGCATACCTTACCTCCCTTTCGAAAAAACGTTTCTGATGCACCATGCTTCATTCCTGCCCAACACATCAGCATTCACGTATCCTTTCAGCAGACTCGTATGGTTTTTATTCTTTATCGTACTCCTCTTAGTAACAGTGCTATTTCGAGCTTTGATCTCCCCAAGAGATTCTGTTTGTTCCGTTTTCATCAAATTGTGGGCATCTTCTTTCGGACAGGGACTGAACTACAACCCTCGTTCAATGTCCAGGCGAATACCACTTGGAATTTGGCTCATTTATTCATACCTGATTATTCTGAGTTACAGCTCAGTCCTGTTATCGTTTTTGACATCCCCGATTAGAATGAAGCAAATAAAAGATTTCAAGGAACTCTACGCTGCAGTCAGAGAGGGGGAAATGGAGTGCCGAGCAGCATTGCCCACTCTGGAAGCAGAGTATTTGTCGAAAAGCGATATACCCCATCTCAAAGGATTAGGAGAATATATTAAAAAGAATAAATGATACTTCTCACCTAATACCCCCCAAAGTGTACCGAAGCACGCAGCAATGCTTGGATCACCCTTACTATTTCGCATAATTTTTGGTAATCCTCAAACGCACTTTTATTCGAAAGATTATTTTGGATTTTTTGCGACAGCAGTTGCTATCAGGAAAGAGTTTTGCTGCAAAGAGCGTTTCAAAACAATCCTACTCCAAATTTGTAGTGGTGGCTTATATAATAAATTCATGAGCGATGTATTCTTTAAATTAGATTTAAAGAGAAATTTAAACAGTGACTTTAATCATAGTACATCAGCTTTAGGATTATCAGATTTAAATGGACTGTTCATTATTCTAGGTGCAGGCTGGGCATTAGCTGTTTTCATTTTGATACTGGAAATCACTTACAGTCGATGGGTAAGCTCCAAACTTCCTCGAACCTAAAATATGCGATGTGGAAACACTTTTTAAATTTTATAAAATTCCCTATCACCTTTTTCCAAACACACTTTTATTCTTATTATTTATTTATTATTTTTTATATATATATTTTTAAATGAGATTTCAACTATATCGTTCTGTTAATTTTTACTGCATGGCCAGATTTCCATGTTATAACTTGTATGAGTGAAATGAACCACATTATTTTCAGGAATCAATGCATATATAATATTAATTATACTATATATCTTTCAATCTAATTTTTTTCGAACCATTTCAAAAATTTTTGCATACATATTGTTATAATGTGGTTAGATATGAATAAACATTTTATGTATTTATGTACATATTTATCCATTATCTAGGTTCATGTCGTACAGTAATAGCACAATATCATTGTCAACAAATTAATATTGTTCACCAGTTAAGATTGTCAGCAGAATCGCCAGTGGTGAATGTAAAATCTTATTCTTCAACATAATAATGTAAAACCTCGTATTTTAAAAGTCTCACTCCAGAATAAGGTTTTTCTTCATTCAGCTTATATTCTTTCAGCTACCTTTCGTTTAAATAGTCATTCATTGCAATTATTCACTTTCTTCATACAGTTTGTATAAAAAGTTTATGACCTATTCAACCTGTGTTTCTACTCCGTTTTGTTCATATTTATGTTGAAACATGTTCATAAGGATTGAAAGTCCGAGATAAATGGAACAAATTACTTTTTGTAATTCCTTATTTCATGTAACTACCAATAAATATTTGAGCTGCTCGCTTCACGAATCGATTAGTTTCACTTCTTCGAATATCTAAAATTTAAGCGTCGAATCTAGTCATAATTTTTCTTATATTTATAATAAATTTTTCAAACAATTCAAATTAATAACTTGAAGTGATAAAAACATTTTTTTTTAATTTATACATTTTGAAAGAAATTTTAGGAAATAATGCAATTAGAATTCATGAAACAATGAAGTACAACACAATTCTTAACTAATTAGTGCTGTGTTTCCCAAAATAGTTTTCTACAAAACCGCAAATTCTTAGTTATATTAGTAACATATAACATAAGACCGACCTTTACAAACGCTCCCCTATCGAAAGTTCTCACCTTGGCCAAAGGATACGTGCTCTTGGTTCGCCAAGGTTCTCACATACTTGAATCCTGCAGGCAACCTGCTTTGACCTGCCACGACACAAAAATCTAGAAAAATTTGAGATGATAAAAATAATAATTATAATGATAATGCTCCCCCTTTTTTTATTAAATGTTTAAAAATTATGTTTGTATCTCATTCAGAACTCAAGATAAAACTTTTTTTTGTCCTCCTTCCATTGCATTTTAAATACTGAAAATTCAAGTACTTTTCTAATTCTCCTTCTTATATTGTTTTCAACTTTTCATGTTGATATAGATTCATTCATGATGATATTATTCATGTTGATATTGATATAGCTCATAAGCTAAAATTATGAGAATTGAATTATGAGAATTATAATTTTGAGAAATTTGGATTATATGTATTAAATTTTAGATCGATTTTTTTCCACTTTTTTTATATTCATGCTTTATTTTTTCAACTTTTTAATGACCATAGTATTTTGTTAGCTAAAAAGTATAATTTTGTGAAATTTGGAATCTGTATATTTTAGATTATTTTTTCGTATTTTTTTACGATTCCTTTTTTTTTTACTACATCTATTTTCCTTTTTATCAACCGTTAAACTATGTGGTATCTTAACTGAAACTGATAATTTCCAGAAATTTAGAATACATATCATATTTTTAATTGATTTATGTCTATGAAGTTTAAAATTTTTATTACATTTTGATTTAAGAAAATTTGATAGTTACGCAAATATAAATTATTCAAAAAATAAATGTTACAAAATTAAAACAAGACAAGTGGTTGATATTTTGTTCAAAGTCAATAAAAATTTGTTACTAACAAAGCATTGAAATAGTTTCAATTATATGAAACATTCAAAGATCAACATTTTAGACTTTTTTCAAGTAATTTAAAATAATTTTGCAATCAATTTTAAATGGATCCAAACGTTTTGTTTAATTTTATTGAATATTTTTAAAGTTATTGCAAAAAAAAACTGAAGACAAAAAATTTGTTTTTTGAAAACAAAATGTCCATATCTCCATAAATATTGCAACTATTTTTAAGAAATTTCGCTCAATGATTGCATGTAATAACTAAAATAATCATTGTAAGTTACAAATCTATTACTACATTGTTTGGCATAGGGTGTTCAAAAAATTTTTTTCCATTTGAAATTTATTGTTTTTCTCACAAATTTCAAAAATCTTTTAAACTTCATTGTTATGTATGAAAAATGGCGAGATCTAAACATTTCTAAATTTATAAACTGATTTTCTAAGTATTCTTATTTGAGAAATATCAAAAAAAGTGTTAGTGAAATGAAACCGAAGTAAGAATAAATAAATCAGAATTGAGAAACACTACGAAATCATGTTCAAACTTGAATACCGACGGAAAATTTTCAGCGGAATAATGAAACAGAGAAAATAACAAAAAGGGTTGCATCAATATAGGTATGTTGGATGTAACAGAAGTGTTTTTGCCTTCCTTGCAATCCTAACATAACTAACCTACATCAGTTTTTAGAATGTTTGCTTTTTTTTTTTTTTGAATTACAAATAAGGCAGTGGTGAATAAAATAAAGCAAAGAATTATTACTCCCGCCTTCAAATAAATTGGTAATAAAATAGTTCGGAGAAAATTCGTTCTAAGAATGTCATTTACCTGGTTCTTCCACTACATATTTTACTTAATGTAGCTAAATTTATTTTTTTTTTATTTAATATTATTTGTTATCCTTTTCGGTGGCTTTACGTTATTGAAGCAGGAAAAACTCGTTTTTTCAGGTTGATCTCATTAGATTAAAGTTAAAATGTATGTAGCATCACCCGGCATGATTCTATTGCTCGCGGTTAACTCATGATAGTCAATATTTACCACTATCAAGCAATTTTTCTCCGATGCATATCCATTTCGAGGAACCGTAAAACATTTATTTCCAAAGTATCGGTATTAAAACTGCTTAGTATTGGTGCTGTTTTGATATTCAGCAAATATATCAATATAATATTTTATACCTATATTAGTTTATTTGGTACTTATTACATAACCCTTTAATATTTGATTTTTTTAAAAATAAATTCGTCAATAATGGTCAATTAAAACAGATTTTTAAAAAATATAGAATTTTCATTAGAACTTGATAAGGATTTTGGAGCATGACCATTTCTCTATCTGACCTTTAATTGGTTTTGTGATAATTTTCGTTCAGTTTTGCTGTAATCTTATTTCTGGATACTATGATATATACTTTGCGGTTTTTGCTTTCAATGACGTCACCTTCGGGTTACAGCAACTTTTGTTTACTTTATGTGATTGATCCTTGAGTTATTTACATCTATATTCCAGGACTCGAAAAACCGCCCGTCCGCCCTCCCTTGGCTGTCAAAAATTTCCAACGGACAACGAATTTCTCGAATCCGACGTCCGCGCGGACAGCCATTTTCCCGTTAATGTTCGTGATACATTTTCAATTTAAATTATTTCATAAAAGAAATACTGGGTTACTATTAGTAACCTAGTATTTCTTTTATTACTGTTTAATGTAATCCTAGTTTTTGTAATCCTAGTAACTGGTAATTCATTGTGCAATTTATATAAATGTTTGTAATAAATAAGAGAAAATTATATTTTTATTTATTTAGAAGCTACGCGGGTTAGTTTCAACGGGTACATTGTTGGTCAAGCTGTCCTCGGGGACGGGTAAAATTTCAGAGTTTTTTCGAGCCCTGCTACATCTATTCGTTTATATGCAAATCACCGAAAATAAGAGGGGGCCCCCCGATTGTAAACTATTGCCAATTTTTTAAAGAAAAACTAAATGTCTTAAAAGAAATTTTATAAATGAAAAACTTTAAAAGTATAACTTACTTAAAAGCAACTTAAAAATATAAATTTGTTGACGTAGATCAGTGTTTCCCAAAGTGTGGTACGCGTACCCCCAGGGGTACGGGAACAATTTAGCGGGGGTACGCGTTCTTATGCGAAATATCTTGCAACAAATTAACAGAGTTAACTGTTAACAGAGTTAACAGTTAATAACTAAAATATGTTAATAAAAATAAAAATATTTTTTAAAAAATACATTCATTTTTTTTAATTAGTGGTACACAGCGTTACGAAAAATTTAGAAAGGGTACACAAAAGTCATAAGTTTGGGAAACACTGACGTAGATCATGGTTGCTACCACGTAATGTTGTTTATTAAATTTATCTAGAGCCCCTGAATTAGAGACAGGCCGACTTATCTTTCATTTCGGAGAAAAAGCTTTTCCTTTAATAATAAAGAGCTACAAGATTTGGCAACTTATCGCTACAAACGACGTAGTCAACGACGTACAAACGACGTAGTCACTACAAACGACGATAATCAGTAAAGAAGCTTGCATTGAATAACATTGTTTTTCGGAAACTTTTTTTTATGCTTATACAAATTCACTGCAAATTTTATTACCGATTTGATGTTTTAAATTAAATACTGTGCATGTGCTATATGCCAATTGCATCAATTTTTTTTATAAATGATTTCAAAGTAAATTTGGTACTAAATTTTATATTTCAGTTAGATCTGGGTTTTTCAAATTTA